ACAAAACAATATAAGTATTAATAATTAAATTGATCTATGACCTTGCAACGTAATTGAGTAATTTAATTACAATATTATTACGTAGGCATAGCGATAATTCCCGTATAAACATCAAAAAATAAAAAATAAATACGATTTCAATGTTATAGGTGTACACTATTATTCCGGATGAAGATATCCAAAATAAATATTGCATACGAGTTTGGTATACTTTTTTTCCGACGATTTTATTCTACCGTGGTTCGTGTGGAAAGAATCCCAACGTTGAATAACAACGAATAAGTGTACGAATTGTCAATAAAGTTAACGTGATACGTTTAAACGTTCGTCTCGATAGTTAAAATTACGATGCTTGTGCAGTGACGATCAGTCTTACATTTAACTATTTGTGTTCCGATGTACCAGCGTATCAATCCGATAAGTAAATTGCACAATTTATGCTGCTGTCCGAGATTATTTATACTAATTGAATGCATTTACACTTTAGGTAACAATTGCACGCGGGCACCGAGCGCTTTCGTTAGCATAGTAACAATAATACAGTTTTTTGGTGGTGCGTATTACTGTGCAACAGGCGTACTACTGCGAGATAAATTTAAAACAACTTGATGCGTTTTAATTAAAACGCATAACGATATGAATATTTAGATGGAAAAATCTAACGATGTAAGTACACTACCAATATAATTATTATTATTACACTCGGCGGTGGCGTACTAATTATTGTTGGCTGGGATACAGAGTCATTGTTTGTACCCCCTCTGTTCCCCCGGCATCTTACATTTTTAAGCAGTCTTCGTCATAGTATTATCATTGAACAGACGAAAAAATAATAAAATTATAATTTCCCACGCTATTTATAGTATTAATTTATATAAGTACCGCGTACACATCGCATTAGTATTCATCCATCGATTTTTTTCCCTTCAAAATGCGTACCGGTTCTCTACAATGATTAACTTTGATCTCAACAATAATCTTAACATTTCATACGTGGTACCTATATTAAAAGAATATATAATATTACATGTATAAATATAATCGCCCCAAAACAAAAAAATAATGAATCCGAACAAATAAATTACTGATCAAAAATTGTTTACCTTTAGTGAAGGTAAGTAATAATACTGACAATAGTGTTCACAATTTATGGTTTTCTAAAAGATAAAAAAATTAGAAAACTTACTTAAACAGAGGTAATCACGTTGTATGGTTTCATTAATCAAATTTATTACAAAACCTAAAAGAGCATTTTTATTTTGGAATAATACTTTCAAACTATTGTAGTTTAAGTTTTTAATTAGCTTAAGTTTGTAGTAATAAATGTAAAAAAACATATTACTGTAAGTAATTAAAGTTGATGATTGAAATTTTTTTTCCCCCGTTGTCATTATTGGTAAGTATCTAATATTTATCGAATCATATATATTTAATTAAAATAATAATGTTTGGGCATAAGTAAGAAACGGTTGTAGAAATAAAACACAGAAAATATATTTATACAGATGAAAGGGTCGAAAACCATATTTGTATAGTCAGTGGTAAACACTGAATAGGACTCTTTGGATCTACCTTACCAAATTCTTTCAAAAAGTATGTAGAAGTATATATTATATATTACATAGAATATTTTACGATCATTTTACGCATGAGCACCTTAAAGAAAAACGGTCCATAGAATTGGTATTTTTCTGCATGAGACAGCGTGTATTTTATTTTCAACTACTTAACATATTTTTCAGATTCCCTTCCTTTTTATTCCTTACCGCGAAATAGTCTTCTCGTACTTGCTCATTCTCTCTCTCTGTCCTTTTTCCTCACCATCCTTATATTTTCACCTCTGAGAATTCTGCGATGTATTTTTTAAAATCTATAATATAATGTATCATTCGTTCGTATATAAGATGAAGTCCTTATAAATTCATCATAAATAAATATAAACTCAACAAACGCGCTAGTTAAATACTGATAAAAAACTATTTAACCGTAATAATGATCGTGAACATTTCTTTTTTAGTGAATTAATTAAAGTTTATTCTTATTCAATACATAACATTACTTATGAAATAAGATCTTAAGTATAAACCTACATAAATAAAAAACATTCATTTTATATGAACCGTTGAGGCATGACATAAATTAAAATAAAAAAATCTTTTAACAGATTTAAAAATTAAACTTTGGACTAAGAATGTTTGTTTATATTCTCGGAATCAATAATTTACTGGGTATGTATTTAAAAAATATTTTCACTTTTAACTGAAGGTCGAGTTAGATTAAAGACAATATATTTTTCGGGTATGCGTTTTAGTATTTTTAGGTGAAAATATTCTTAAATGATTTTTCATAGTTAAATAAAATTAAGAAATATACATTAAAATTTATTAATAACCTGACCTGAGGTGGAATTTTGATAACATACAACATGTTAATTTATAATTACAAAGAAAAAAGTTCGAATATTGTAAAATGTTATTCCCACTATTAAAAAGCAATAAACAAAAACAAGAATTTAATTAACAAAAATAAATACATAAGTTTTATCTTTTGTTCTAAATTTTCTATGTCTATGTGTATTTTATAAAGATAAAAAAATATATGCAATTTACGAATTATATAGCTTAGTAAATAAGATATTATAAACCTATTTTATTTATTAATTGAATTGCTCATAAATCTAAAAGGTTAATAAATTAAAATAAATTAAGTACCTACATATTTATAAAAAATTACAAACTTCAATATCATAATTTAAGTCAGAATTAAAAAAACTTTCTAATTAAATTTAAAAATATGTATCTGATACTTGCAAAAATTTAGAATTTAAATGACTATCGAAAATTTATTAAATAAATTATTGACACGAGTAAAGCGAAAATGGCTCACTGAAAAAATTAAACCAAAGACAAAATTTCATTACCTATACTTTATTAAAATTTAATATTTGACTTAATAATTAATTAATTAGGAAACATTTATAAAGCAATGTTACTATTTATTTTAATTATTAGTTTGATTATCCCCAACACAATGAAGATTTGTTAAACTATTTTTTCAAATTAAAATTAAACATTTTTAAATTCAAATTGTGTGAATGCTTTTAATGAACATTTAATGTAAGAAAATATTAAATAAATAATGTTAAACATACAAGCCAGACTTGGGAGATTTCGAAGAATTCGAAGAATTCATGAAAAATATATTACGGTCAATAGCAGTTTTTACTTCTCAAAGCCCATTTAAAGCTATAATCTAACTTGAAAATATACATTTAATTAAGTTAATTCATTAAATATTACAGATATGCATTAAAACTTCTAAGGTAAATATATTAATTCTCTATTTAGGATTATTTTTTTTACCTCATTACTATTTTTAAATAAAACCAGTGTTGGTCTGACATGCTATGATTGTGCCTCCATCAACAAATTTACAATGGGCCCCTCAAATTATTAAAATGTCAAGAATATACAGTTTGGAAAGAACATTATTAGTGAAAGCACGTACATATTTTGTGAACATGTTGGAAAATAACAGTAAATACAGTGATACTCTCCATTATCCACAGAATAAAGTGGAGTTACGACAATCGAAAACAATTTACCTACATTAAAGTTTAAATTACAATGTTGTCGACTGAAAATATAATTATTAGATTATTATATAGAAATTACCGAAAATATAATTATTAGATTATTATATAGAAATTACCGAAAATTGTGAAGACAATTAAAATAAAATTAGTATAATTTAAAAATATTGTTTCCTATTAATCTCAATCACACTATATTTTAAGGATTTTGATAATTATTAGGCTATTTTTATTTTAGTTTGAAAATAATTATAAATGAAATGAGTCTATTATAGGCCAATGAACCTTGACTTAATAAACAATTAACTATTTTCATCTAGATAGTTGTCTTTTTTTTATGAATATAACATCAACATCTTTATATAGAATCAGTATATCACATGTAAAATCAGATTTATTTGAGCATTCCCATGTTCTATATAATTTAATGAGTTTTACATCACATTTAACTCAAATAAAAAATTAAACAAATGTTTCTGTTCAAAAATACATTTATTTTATAGATTTTTTTTTTCTTTTCTTTTTACATGTATTTGCAGAACAATACAAATCCAAACTACTTAAATATTTTTATTTTGTACTTTTTTGGTAGAACATTTGATTTGCTATAAACAACAATTAATATTATCTTCAATGTTAAAAATATTTTAACTTGCATGGTACTATATGTATGATTATTTTGTTATATTGCTTTGATTCAATTATTATAAGGTATACAGATAAAAACTAGACTAGTATTATATATTCATCTTTTAGTTAGTTTATTCACCTAACAAATAATTAGTGAAAATAAATATAAAAACAATGTGTATGGTAGTATATTTATATACTATTTTAAATATATATATATATATATATATATATATTTACTGGACGTCAAGATATTAAAAGCAATCGCATACTTAATATAATAGTGGAATATTGGTGAGTACCATAGGTCAAAACAAAAATTAACTTATTACCTTTCTGTGTAAAGTGGACATATAAAAGGTATAATTACAAATTTTAAAAATATCATATTCTCTATTTTTAAATAAAATATTTTAATAACTGGCTTCATGTCCAGCTAAGATGTACAAGTCTGCTCCATCATCTGATTTTTTGGAAACCATATGTGATTCCAATAACAAGATTCTAGAATAAAAAATTAAATAAGTATGGAAAAAAAATATTTGATCAACAAGTTTATCTTACAGAATGTTTATAGTAATTTTTTACTTTTGGTAATTTTTCAAATATAATAGTCAAAGGAAATATAGTACATATAAATTCTAAAATAAATGATTATTTAGATTAACTTATTATACCTAAATATGGCTTATAAAAATACTAGTTTTTATTAATATATACATCTCTTTGACTTTAATATTGATCAATATAATAAGATTACAATAGTAAGAATACATACTTGTCTGAACCCAATAGTTTATAGGTTCTACTTTTGTCAACTATTTCTTGAGTAATTTCACCATTTTTTAAACAACGTCCTTGAACACCGTATTTATGGAATGCCAAAATGCTATCAGACAATCTAACTGTTCATACAGACACAAAAATTAACTAATTTGGCACAGCATATACATCAAAATAAATCATATTATAACACATTTATTAAAATATTAATATTTAGAAAAAAAAATTAAAACCCACTGATATAAAGCATGAGAAACTAACCAATTGACTCAACATCAAAGTCAAAATGTAGCTGGTTTACTTGATTTCTGTCTGCCTTCAGTTGACCATGTAAATTAATTATTTTTACAGTTTCTGCAATATGAAAATATATAATTTTTATCTAATTTAAATAAAAGTAATAATTAAAAATTAATGTGTAACAAGTTTGAATTGCATTAAGTACAACTTTTTTTGTGTATATGTATGAATTAAAATAAGCATTATATTTGCCAAATAACTAGTAAATAAACAATAAATTGGGTTTTTGAGAAATATATAGTTTACAATTAGTATTAGGCTAATAAGATCATTAAATAGGTGAATAAATACATAAATTATAATTTTATTTACTTATATAAATATATATATACATACTTTTATAACATATTAGAAAGGAATCTGTATCCAACTGGCATACACATACAACATCCATTATATCTCTTCTTTGTATAACTGTACCTGCAAATAAATTATAATTTATTGAATGGATAATTATTTAATTAACAGTATATATATTTTAAAAAAAAAAAAGCATTTATTTAATAAAAAAAAAATCATGAAATATTGTCATAAATTACTAACCAGTATTATCAGAATCATCTGTTTCACCAGAACAAAACCAACAGGCTCCTGTATTTACATTTATCAATTCTAATTTCAAATTCATAGATTTTCTAGGTCCAATTGGTTTTTTGACACCAACACAAACGAGAGGATATTCTAATTCTGGTGTTATAACCATTTCAAAAACATTTAAAGGTGATGGTAAATTACATTCAAAATGCTATAAAAATGCATGATAATATCATTAAATAACTAAGAGCACTATTTAGAGGTATAAGTATTTTAATTATGAGTTATACCTTTAACAACATAAATTTATTCAGTGGATCATACCACTGCATTAGAAAAATCCCACTTGACATAGCGCCACACAAATATTTATAACCATTGTATGGGTTACGTCCAACACAGCATTTTATACATCCTTTGGTATCTGGTACTTTGGTGGTAAGCGCAAACCTTCTAGGCATTAACTTTTCAGGAATCCTAGTCATGTGCTGTGAAAACCTATGACTTTGTTTACCATGAAGAGCTAAGAGATCATGTCTAAATAACTGAGTAGTTTTTCCTATAGTAAAAAAAAACAAAAAATTAAAATTCATTTTATTTTTATTAAATTAATTGTTTCAACAATTTTTTTTTCCCGTTATTACAATGATAATTAAAATACTATAAAAATAATTTAAACAATGACTGTTGATATTTTACCTGATAAAGACATCAAAATATCCTTTATAACATACAACCAAATTGTTCGTCGGTTATACAACTGATCAATTGCAGTTTCATGAAGTTCATTTAAATTAAGATTGTAGATACCTTCTTCAGCTCCAATGAATACATGTTGATCCCTAGTTTCAGGATGTATCCAACTAGCAGTGCAATATATTCTTAAAGGACATCCATTGAATACCTTGAGGCCAATAGAACCAAGTAATTTATATAATTGTTTATACAAATTAGATATTGTATATAATATTTAAGTTATAGTAGTATAGAACTATGAAATATAATTTTTTCAATTCTACTAAAAACCTTCTACTTTTTTATTGTACTTGTATAATTTTGTATTTCAATTAATTAAATAAACCTCTTAACATTTTATTTTTCAAAACTTAATTTTTATTAATATAATTTAATTTTTTATGCAACTTATATTTTCACAAATAAATCATATTTCTCAATAATTAATTAATTTAATAAATTACCTTTGAAAAACAAGCTCCCATGTGCACCTTAGGTGTTGGTGGTAAACCATTACTAATTGGTTTAGGTGGAGAATTACGCTGTTTACGGTCTCTTCGGCGAGGAGGTACTGGAGGTGTATCAGCTAATAAATCTGGTTCGGGACCTTCTCCTGTTAAACAATAAAATTAACATTTGTAATACAATATAAAAATACATAAAAATAAAAATTATTTACCCCCACTATCACTAAACGAACGTTGACGTCGATTTAATGAAACATTCGAAGTTGTTAATGTGATAATTTCATCAAGAGAGCTATGTCGTCTAGATGATGAAGAACTATCTGAATAATAAATGTAACAATAATAGTTTAAATATAAATTTTTTTTTATCAAATAATAGTTTTAATTTTATTATAAAAATATTGAAAAATTATATTTATATTTAAAATAATTATTATAACCAACCCATAAGATATAAATCGGAATTTTGCATATTATTGTAAATGGACAGAAACCCCTGGATTATAATTTCAAATGGTATATTTCACCAAAACCTAATTATAAAATGTAAGGTTAAAAAAATGTACTTATTTTAATAATAAACTTTCACCTTAATAGCTATAGTTGGACTACATCCAAAACAAGTATTACATACAAGTTGACAAAAATAAAGATAGTTAAAAGTTTGCTGTGATATAAAATTTACTGTTTAATAATGCATAAGTTTTATTAATAAATGATTAGGTTCTATAATACCTTTTAAATTTTGGTAGACACAGCCTGTATTAGGAAAATTACAATTTTGACTAGATGTATGTGGCACAGAGCATTTGTCAGACAATGGTAAAGTTGGTCTGAAAAAAAATTGCAACATTTTCTAAAATTGAATCCATGCAAGTAAAATTGTTAATAAAATTAAAAAAGATAATCAAACTGTGGTCATTTTGTAATGAGAAGTTTGTATTGCCATTGTTATTTAAACGTAAAAAATAAATTAAATATGAATTCAACTACTTAAAAAAATATTTCGAACTGAATAGCCATAATAACTATAAAAAAATGTATGATATAGTAACTGATACAATGTATTAATACTCACACATCTTCATAACTTCCATTTCTATCTTCATTAAATACACGAATATAATCTCCTCTAAAAATAAATAAACAAAATAATTAGTAAATAGAAATGTCTAACAAAGAATTATAGCTAAAAGTAAGGACCAGTTTTACAACGTGTTCTATACATTTCATTAACCAAGTGCTTTACAGAATAATAACTCTAAATAAGCAAGCTACTATCTAATAAATCAAGACAAATAATGAAACAAACTTAAAAACGCTTTAAAATAATTATAAATATTCAAAATCATTAGTTGAGCAAAGCAATGGCATTATGTTATGATTTTGATAGCAAAAAAATAAAATAAAAATGATATTTTATTATAATATAAAAACACTTTGAATATTTAATTATTATTTTCCAACTAAAATCGATATAAGCAGATATTTAATGGATCATAAATAATTGACACCAAGAGCCATGTTTTATTGGCAGCATAATGAATGTATACTTTGATTAATTGATCCAATTATATTAATTGTGCGAAATTAAAAATGATGTATTAGGATTTCATACCTCAGTTTAAGTTCTTCTTCTATGTTTTGCAGAAGACTCCTGTAGAAATCAAACGACTTCAATAAATTGTTTAGAATTTTTCGTTCAATTATTAATAAATTAAAAGTTGTACAATAGTTCTTAATCGAAACACAAAATAAATATTTTAGAAAAAAAATTCTTCAACCTTATTGATTTTTAAAAATGTATAGAAAAGGTTATTAAAATATTTAATATGGGCAAATTAAATTACAATGTATATATTGCATTATGAGTAAATAAAATCTTAGCCCAAGAAACCTAAACATAAATAATGATACCTAATAAAATGTAATTAATTTAAATTTAAAATATATACTTATTACTTGCAAAAGCATCATCCTTAGTCAGTGGCGTATTTGAGACTTTACCTCGGAGGGAAGGAGGATATTAAGAGGAATCAACTGCCCCCCCCCACCACATATTTATTTACAAAACGAAATCTATATTTCTTTTTTTAATAGGTACTTGTGAATCTATCAATTACATCATCAACATTTATTTCAATTGCTCTATGACCTAACCTAACCAATTCATAGACAAATACATAGTTATCAGTTTATCACGATGACTAAATGACACATTGTGACCATTTCGACGGGGATGTTCCGTAGTATCAAAAACAATTTCTCCCAGTAAAGGGCAAAATGTTCAAAGGTGGGCCTTAACTAGTTACTTTATTTTCTAATAAACTTTTTAACTTAAGTAATTTATTTTTGGCAATTGAAGTAACTTTTCACGGTTGATTTAAAAATGATCCATAAAGTTAAACATTTTTAAAATTTCTTGTTTATACGTAAATATTAATATAAAAATTAAATAATCATGTAAAGTAAAATAACACATTGTACATCAAAGGTCATATTAGATTTTGTAGGTTGGGGGCCCACCTTTGGGTATTGGGTTCTGGCCGTGGATACAAAATGTTATGTATAAAGAATTTTAATTTTAAAGATAAATAAATACGGTAGTGAATGGCCCCTTGATGTACAATGTCATAGTATTTTTCAAAAACTTCGGCGCCGCTGCTGTATAGTATGATAAAAATGCAATAAAATTATTTATTACAATTTAGGAAATCAGATATTTTTAGAGACGCAGTCAATTTTATGTGATATACATACTAATTAAAAAAAGTAGATTAACTTTTTCTTAAACCAAGTTAATATTTTTTTTCCTTATTAACTTTTAACTTATCGATCTTGTGTTCTCCTTACTTAACTCGAGTTAATTATTTTCAATAACTTGCCCCCTTTTGAAAATGTTTCTTCCATTTATATACGCCATGCGTACCATAGAACAATGAACAATCACTAATCAATAATCTAGTTGATATTATCAGTTATCATTCGTGGACTGTGATCGTGATTTTAGATAATATGATTCCACATCGAGCATAAATAAAATGGCAACAAAAAGTTCTTATCGAATTTACGAAAAATAATCATAATGTATTATAAAAAAATATTCAGAATCACTTATAAGTTCAACAAACATTTGGAGGCGTCATGGAAGTAATACGAAAGTCTACCCGTGGCGTCACCGATTCAAAAAAAAAATAAGTTCAACAAACATAAAATGTAATTTTCAAACATATCTCGGGGGACGATCGCCCTTATCGCCTCAAATACGCCACTGTTTTTAATAATTTGAACTAAAATGCATAGACAATGCAAGTCTATACAACATGCATTTATAACAAAAAATTTCCTCTCAAAAATAAAAAAAGAATTATATTATAATAAAATGTATATTAAGCATTTTATGAATTAGTCAATTGTTCTCCCAAAAATAGTATCTAAAATTGTAATTCAAAACTTCAAGTAATTATTTTCGTTTTTATAAAATACTGTCTGATTTTATATGTCCTCTTTTATTTCAATATAGATATACATACATATAAATAAAAAATATTTTC